TATTCTACTCTATTCTACTCTATTCTACTCTATTCTACTCTATTCTATCCTATCCTATCCTATCCTATCCTATCCTATCCTATCCTATCCTATCCTATCCTATTCATTTAAGATTTTATTTTTTATAAGTAGGCTTCACACCCAACATGGGGAGTGAACTCAACAACCCTGAGATCAAGAGTTGTATTGCTCTACTGACTGAACCAGGCAGGTGCCCCTCCCATCACCTATTTAACCCATCCCACACACACCTCCCCTCTGGCAACCATCAATTTCTTCTGTATAGTTAAGAGTCTGTTTCTTGGTTTGCCTCTACCTTTTTTTCCCAACATTTCATCTATCTACTCTTCCCATTCCTACTGCCAGAAACAATGAAATGAACACACATGTTCACTTACAGACCTATGTGAGAATTTCTTGGGAAGACATATCCAAGAGGGAAATTACTTCATAGCATACATGTATACTTAAATTTAGTATCAGCCAGATTGAATCATTACACCAGTCCACATTAACAAGAGTTATCTTTTTGTGTAACTATCTCTTCACCTCCATTTGGAAGACTTGTCACCCTAACTTTTGCCAGTTGTTACTACTGGCAGTATAACTATGATACTATTAAATGTATAGTAGTATCACACAGTTTTAATTAAATTTCTCTAGTTTCTAATAAGTGATAATTTTTTCAAATGCTCAGGAGCCTCATTTGTAAATGCCTTCTTATACCCTTGGCCCCTTTTTCTCTTGTGGATGCTACCTGTCTCTTTCCTCATTTTCATTGCACATTCTGATTATTGATACCTTGTCAGTTTTAGAAATTACAAATATTCTTTCCAAAGTGGGCATGTGTTTTTAAATTTTGTCTATTGTGTCCTTCATTGAATAGAAATCATTAATTGTAAGATAACTACTAAATTTCTTCTTAATCTCTGTCCTTTGAAACTCCTAAGGCAAAAGTATCTATTTCTTCCTGCTTAAAATAAATTTCTAGACCTGTCTTTCATATGTAGGTCCTTTAAATGTTTTGGAGTCTATGTATGTGCATCTTACTATATGGGGATTCGCTTTTATGTTCTCTAAGAAAAACTCTTAAAAAATAATGATATTCATGGCTTCAAGACTCAGTATTACAAAGATCTCAATACTCACCAAAATGATCTATAGTATCAATCAAACTCCAATAACAATATCAGCATTTTCCCCTAGAAAATGATAAGATGATTAGAAACAATATATTAGAAAAGAGCTAAGAAGAGTCTAAATAAGAATAAAACAGAGGACTTATTTATATTAGTATACACTAAATCTTCTTAAAAATCTACAATATAAGTCTGGAGCTTGCTCAAGGATAGACGAATGAGTGAATAGACATCAAAATCTATATTGAAACAGACATTACACCTCGATGTGTATAAAGAAAACACTACAACAGAGAGGGTAAAGAGGTCTCACTAATATAGTTCTCAGTCAGAAAAAATGCTGATCACTGTCTCATAGAATATAAAAATACAAATTCCAGAAGGTCTGCAGATTTAAATTTGAAGAGCAAACAATGATAATTTAGGAAAGAAACAGGGGCGCCTGGGTGGCTCAGTCGGTAAAGTGTCTGACTTCAGCTCAGTTCATGATCTCATGGTCTGCGAGTTTGAGCCCCGTGTCAGGCTCTGTGCGGACAGCTCAGAGCTTGTTTCAGATTCTGTGTCTCCCTCACTCCTTGCCCCTCCCCCGCTCATGCTCTCTCTTGCTCTCAAAAATAAATTTAAAAAGATAAAATAAGTTTTTTTAAAAAAGGAAAGAAATGGAACTTCTTTCTTACTCGGACTAGAAAGAATTTCTCCCTCCCTCTTTTTAAGTAGGAAGAATTTCTTAACCAAAGAAACAAAAACAAAA